TTCGCTCATGTGAGATGAATCAACAGACTTCAGATCTGACAAGACTCGTATGACAAGTCTCATTCCTGTTAGTACAGTTTACAGTGTCAGTCTGGACGGAGGTGGTAGATTAAACCCCAGATCCAGGTTTTAAAAAGAAAGGATTATTTAAAAAAAGGAGCACAAATTAAACCGGTGTGTGAGGAGAAGCACCAGGGCAGTGCATTGCAAGGCACTTAGACATTTTCAGAAGATGCTGTCTGTGTGCATTCATATGATCCTCTCATTTATGTTGCAGTGATCCGTGTCATCTGCACGGTCAACAAACATGTGATAATCCCATGATCAAAAATAAAGCTTCCAGAAGGCACACTTTGAAGTTACTTGAAGAAAATGAAACTGAATCTAGTACAGTTATTGCTCAAGAGATTTGCACATCTTATTCGCTATCGTTTAAAGTGCCGCAAGATAATTGTGCGAGAATGAAAGGCCACCTGACAGTTTCCTACAGTATCCGTTGCTCAGGGGAAGGATTGTGGGGTACCGGTGATTTGTGAATGGATCAGGATCTGAACACGTGCACTGCCCGCACCACGTACTGCCGGCAGATCGGACACTCGTTCATGCCGAACGGCGTGAAACACGTACACTGGTACACAGGCGTGTCCAAAAGAACACAGTCAATGGGTGAGTCCATGCAGATCTTACACAGGCTCTCCTCCACGGCCGTCCCAGATCCAGCGTCTGCTAAGAAAACAAGAAGTCAGTGCAAACTTAGAAACTAAAGAATGCACGGGTCCGTATCATGACATGTTTGTCAGGACATTAAAAATGCAATTTAGACATTTACTTGAAAACATCCTTTTTTTATTTTTATTAATTGTGATATTTTTGGGGATGGATTACATCAAAATGTCAAGGTGGTACAACTGTCCTCTTTTCATAATGAAGAAAAAACTAGTGTGGCATAGTCTTTTATTATGTCTTTAAAATAATAATAATAATAATAAATACATTCAGGGTTAGGGATCGTCATTAAAATCATGTGGTGCAACCAGCGTGCAATAATGCGATGCCTAAAAAATAAATAATTAAATAAATTACACACACAC